AGTGCATGCTTTACATCAAACAATATAGTAAAATAGGAAGTATAATGCAGCAATTTAACCATAAACAAGTGAACAGAATTACTTAGATTTTGAGAAAAAGTGGAAATGTATGTTTTTATATGTTTACTATTTACAGTGACGTAATCACTTTAACAAAGTGTAGCGGACAGGGCCATCACTTTAAGGTTTGACCAATGGAGATTGTGGCATTATGCTTGGCCTGTACTGCTACTGTGTCTCGTTCTTGATTCTCGTTTCAGGGAAAACTCCAGTGAACGTGATAAGTTCCAACAGAAAGTTCTTAGGGGGAAGTACGTTCGTGAAGGAAGGATCAAACCAAGTCGTCTGCCAGTGAAGCAAAAGAAGGAAAACTCCTACATGGACGGCATTCTCTAAGATCGCTATTGTGTACGTTTGCTATCGTGTGCGTTGCTATCTAGCAGTAATTGTAATATAGAACACATTAAAACTATAAACTACCATTGACAATAAAATGTAAAAATTAAAATGGCCGATCCTCAATCACCCACTTATCTTTAATGTTGATGAGAAATTAAATCTGTTCAACCCGGTTGCTCGTGTTTCCATCCCCCCTGTTGTCACTCCAGGAACCCCCTAGTGTCGTCTGCCACGATGAAGGAGAGGATGATGGGAAGGAAGATGGTGAAGTTGTCGTGCATACGAGGTCAGATGCGAGGCGGGGACATAGAGGGCGACTGGGTCACGATGGGCGTCGTCATCAACAAGACAAACCCGAAAACATCAGCCAATGTATGGTTGTAATTACTGTTCAGATGCAATAACTATGTAATGTATCTATATATATTATCTATCTATCTAGATATATATATATATAGTGTTTCCTCTGCATTGACACGAGCGAGACGGGCCGCCTTGCTCAAATTCTCAGCCACCACACAGAAATTTGTACAAAACACTGCCTCGCTGACGAAAATCACTGTTCTTCCATCAATAAACTATACACTTTATTGAACTAAAATCGAATTATAAATTAGAAATGCACCAATTCGACCATTTTTTCTAAAAATTTGGGGGGGAAAAATTCCTCGCTTTGCTAGGACCTCGAAACTCGCAAACACACCCAAAAATAATTACCACCTCACAGGTCGACCTTTTTGGCAAGGGGAAACACTGTATATATATATATCATGTATATACAAATTTATTGTGATTTTTTTTGTGATTATTGTTTGTGATTATTTTATCCTTTCTTATTTGTGATTATTGTACAAATAAATTTTTTGAGATTATTTACTCCTGATATTTATATATATATATATATTATATATAATATTATTATATACATATAAAAGCTATTGCAATATGTGTGCATTCTACTGCCGTTTCACATGTAAGATTCTCTCACAGGGTAAAAAGTATTCAATATGGCGACTGAGTGACCTTCAGGACTGCACGAAGGTCGTGGCCTTCTTTCTGTTTGGGGATGTTCATCAGCACCTGTGGAAAACTAGTCAAGGTTCTGTCGTGGGGTTCCTCAACGCAAGCTTTCTCGACAGTAAAGAAGGGGTAAGCATCCTGAAATTGTTCAGATGGACCTGGTTAATTGTCCTCATGAAAAATCACACTTTGTGAGGAGTTTTAGGAGAGAGTCTATAATGTAAGCCAAGTTTTTGAGAATTGTAATGATACATATTAAACTGTACTTCCTGTATGTACAAGTTTGTTTTAGATTTGTTTTTTATTTTTATTTTTTCTTATCCAAAAACATAATCTATTGACACTCCTGATCTATGTCATAATTTTCGTAACTCATTCTTGATATTGTAACCTTTTCTTCTCTCTCTAGTCGGATGAGATAAGCATAAAGGTGGATAACTGGCAGAAAGTAATGCTGTTGGGGCAGTCTAAGGGGTATTGGCTCTGGATGGGGCTTGCGTGAACACGTGCGCGTGGAGAGTGAAAGTAAGAAAAACGTGGGAGGAGTGTCGTGATGTGCATGTCGGGTGTGGGTGTAATTGGTCCAACAAGTGAGTTGATTGCTGTAATGGAATCTGTTATATGTTCATAATTCCCAGGAGCGATATAAACACGCAACAGATTCCATACATCATGGCCAGGAGAAGACAAGAGCTTATGTATATACGGGGGGAGAACGAGGCTACATAGATTAGCGTGGTCACAGTGGCGCCCCTGTACCGTGCTCACCTGTTGGGCTGCGTGATGTGTCTGTTTGGTTGCACTACATATTGTGTATACATATNTACTAGTCGTTGGCATGTAATAATAATAATAATTACAGACCGGTAGGTCCTATAGCTAAGAAGAGATGCATGCCAAGAAAGTGGCGGAAAAAGAATAATAATAAGAATTCGTGGAATAACAATGTATTTGGCAAGGTGCCAACATTACCAAAGAGTTAGGCGGCTACATCTTTCCAAATGTCACGATCGATCACTACAAAAAACGGCTGATTAATTTCCAAGTGAACGAGAGCGACATATTCGTAGCGTGACAAGTCGGGGTGAGTTTTGTCACCATTATGATTTGCTCAATCACATTTTCGTAAATCATGTTCAAATGTTACGTCAAATAACCCACGAGAAGATGACAGTTTAGGCTACAATCAGGACAAATACCCTCCACTACCCGATGTTACTATATATATTACTACTTATATATATATATATATATGTTACTAGTTATATTGATGGCCCGCTCTCCATCCACAATATGGACGCAAAATCATGCGCGATAGTTTGTGTCATGCGCTATCTATGATTTTCGAGCAAACCCTACTTGGAATATTTTCTTACTCCCAGTTTCCTCTGCCGTGAGTAAACGTTATCATTCAAATAAATGTAATGTTGTTTATAATAATCGCTAAATATATTTCATTCATTTATAATTACAATTTTTACTGGTAATTATTGTTTTATTATAGCATAAAGACATTTTAAATTATTACCTACATGCTAGTATAGTTGTAGTCGTTTAACATTTTTTCTCTTCATACAGGAACAACATGGACACAGGAGATAGTTTATCTAATCATGAACAACTACAATAGAAGGCGAACGAGAAAATTCTCGAAGAGAGGTTTCCCTGCGTGGATTTCACGTTCGATGGAAGGACGCCAGTCAACCCTGACACACTGCCGTCACCGAGGTTAATCAAGATCCACCTTCCTTCTTACAGTCTTCTGCCGCAAACAATCAAAGATAAAAAGTGCAAGGTGCTGTATATATAATATAGGCCTATGTTATTTATATATATATATCAAATGCGAATAAACACCTGTGTGTTAACACCGGTTCACACCGGTAATAAACACTGTTATATATGAATATATATTATGATTATATATATATATATATATTAATAAATATAAAGTATATGTTCACATATTTAACAATGTAAGGAAACACGCAATTATACCATACGCGAAGCTATATGCCGATTAGTCTGCTTATAGTTTATATATTCTTAGATTGTGTACGTTTCGCGCAATTCGAAAGACAATTTTGTGTCCTTCTACTTCTTCGCAAAAATGCTAAAATCTCAGAAAGTAGAGAACCTGTCTTTGAAGCAATGGGGAATGCTCTTTCTTGGAGACAAAGGTGAGGATCAGTCAGTGCATGTAGATGCGTGGGCGTGTTTACGTGCGCGCGTGCATGTGGGCGTGAGTGTGCGTATGCCTTCTAACTTGCCACATTGTGTCGCAGGTGCTCGGAGTGTATGTCTTTGGTAGTATAACTGTTGATATCAATTCATGTTTGAGCAATGTTTTTGAACGTTTTTAGTTTCATACGGGCCGTACTGGAAACATAACCTGAGTTACTGGGATGTCAGAGAGGAAGCAAACATTCTATTCATCAAATACGAGGACATGAAGAAGGTAAGGTATGAATATATATATATATATATATATATATATATATTTCTTTATTTATTTATTTATTTATTTATCTATTTATATACATGTATATTTGTGTGGGCGTCATTGCGTGTGCGCGTGCGTTTGTGTGCGTACGTCACTGTGCACAAACTGTAAGGACCTAACATTGTGGCATGTAGAGGCGTATGTACGTCATCGCATTTATGTGAAATTATGGCTTTCATCTATCATTTTATTATTGAAATGGCCAAAGTACTTGTACTATTCTTACTATCACGTGGAATTGCTTGTAGGATCCCAATGCAAGTATCCGTAAGATAGCCGAATATCTGGGTAAGGAACTCACAGAGGACCAAGTCGACCTGATCGCTGAAGCCACTAGCTTCAAAAAGATGAAAACAAACCCGAAGGCAAACTATGATTGGCTGCCAGAGAACGATGTACCAGAAACACACAAATTCATGCGCAAAGGTGTGTAAACGGTCTTTTATCATAATTTTTCTTCTTGTTGGATATTGTTATTGATACAAATCACGCTATGTTATTAAGTTGTTTTCACGGCACAAGCTGTCTGCATAAATGGCTTCGAGTCAGTAGGTCATTCGACAACGCAGGTGTGCGTAACGGTTCTTTGTGCTGGCACTTGCTAGCAGCGCGAGCTACGCGTAGACGTTTGTGGCAGCTCCAGCCTCGCTGGCTGTGATGCGGTGTTTAAGTTGTAACCTGTTGTTTGAGTTATTAAACCAGCATTAAACCTATACAATAAATGTTATAGTTCTTACGACGGAGACATAACAATTGGTGTCAGAAGTGGGATCCAACTGATTAATCTACCAGCATGGATCCAAACCTGAAAGCTGTGCTAGACGCAATGCAAACGCAGCAGCAGCAGCAGCAGCAGACGCAGCAGCTGCAGCAGCAGACGCAACGACAGATGCAGGACTTGGTTGCGGTTTTCAAGGAACAGCTGTCACGACCAGCAGTGGCGACTGTGTCAACGCCAGTCATACCGAAATTCGAGGCGTTCGAGAAAACGAAGGAAAAGTGGGAAAGGTATTTGGAACGTTTCGACCAGCATGTCACCTTGTACCGAGTAACGGACGAGGGCCAGAAGCGTGCATGCCTGCTTTCTGGGGTAGGCGCTCAAACGTACGAGTTACTGAGGAACTTGTTCGGGGGTGAAGACCTCACCTCTAAGTCGTTTGCACATCTGACTGATAAGCTGACAAGTCACTTTGTAGACGCTGTACATGTCCAAGCAGCACGGTACGAATTCTATCAGTGCAGAATGAAACCCGACCAGACGTACGCTGGGTGGGCAGCTGAACTACGCGGCCTCGCAGGTAACTGCAATTTCTTTTGCAAGAGCAACAGTTGTAACCATCAGAGTTACGTTGACTATCAAATAAGAGACGTGATCATTAAAAATTCACCACACTCAGATGTTCGCCGTCAGTGTCTTGTTGACCCTGACCCAACTTTAGAAGAAGTACTAAAAAGGGCAGCGATGTTCGTAAGAACGACGGAGACGGACAGAGTACTCGTTGGCGAAGGTAATGACAGCAGTAATACGTCGGTTCACAAGATGTCTGGGAGTTATAAAAACACTTATAAAAAGAAACCAAGACTCGCAAAGCCTCAGCTTAACAGGAAACAGTCAGCTAGTACGGGGCGCCATGCAGGACAAGGCTCAATTTTGTCTAACAAAACTCAATTCTGTCACACAAAACTCATTTTTGTGAACACAAAACTCAATTCTGTCAATCCTGCACCACAAAACTAAATTTTGTACACAAAAAACTCAATTCTGTCAATCCGGTTCCACAAAACTCAATTTTGTAAACACAAAACTCAATTCTGTCAATCCGGTTCCACAAAACTCAATTTTGTGAACACAAAACTCAATTCTGTCAATCCTGTTCCACAAAACTCAATTCTGTCGAACCGGTTCCACAAACTCAATTTTTGTAAAACACAAACCATTAATCTGTCGAACCGGTTCCACAAAACTCGATTTTGTTGCCCAAATATGGCACCGCATGTAAGAAGGGCTACCATTGGTTTCTTCTGACCAATGGTAGCCCTTCTTACATGCGTGTGCCATATTTGGGCAACAAAATCGAGTTTTGTGGAACCGTTCGACAGAATTGAGTTTTGTGTTTACAAAATTGAGTTTTGTGGTACAGGTTGACAGAATTGAGTTTTGTGTTCACAAAATTGAGTTTTGTGGACTACGGGGCGCCATGCAGCACAGGCTCAATTCTGTCGAACTGTTCCACAAAACTGATTTTGTGCCCAAATATGGCACACGCATGTAAGAAGGGCTACCATTGTCAAAAGAAACCAATGGTAGCCCTTCTTACATGCGTGTGCCATATTTGGGCAACAAATCGAGTTTTGTGGAACCGGTTCGACAGAATTGAGTTTTGTGTTTACAAAATTGAGTTTTGTGGTACAGGATTGACAGAATTGAGTTTTGTGTTCACAAAATTGAGTTTTGTGGGACTACGGGGCGCCATGCAGGACAGGGCTCAATTCTGTCGAACCGGTTCCACAAAACTCGATTTTGTTGCCCAAATATGGCACACGCATGTAAGAAAGGCTTAAGTTGGTCAGAAGAAACCAATGGTAGCCCTTCTTACATGCGTGTGCCATATTTGGGCAACAAAATCGAGTTTTGTGAACCGGTTCGACAGAATTGAGTTTTGTGTTTCAAAATTGAGTTTTGTGGAACCGGTTCGACAGAATTGAGTTTTGTGTTTACAAAATTGAGTTTTGTGGAACCGGTTCCACAGAATTGAGTTTTGTGTTTACAAAATTGAGTTTTGTGAACGGTTCGACAGAATTGAGGTTTGTGTTTACAAAATTGAGTTTTTGGAACCGGTTTGACAGAATTGAGTTTTGTGTTCACAAAATTGAGTTTTGTGGGACAGGATTGACAGAATTGAGTTTTGTGTTCACAAAACTCATTTTGTCAAGTTTATAGTACAAAAAATGAGAGCGACATAAGAAGTTTAAGTCTTGTCCAGCGTGTTTCATCAAGCATGAGCGTGTAGACTGTCCATGTCGGGAGCTCGTTTGCCATATCTGCAATCGAAGGACACATAGCGTCTGTATGTCAACAAACGCAACATAAGTCACGCATCCACATGAGCAAACACGATGCTACAGCAGTGCAACAATATACGAATAGCGTATTTCGTGTATCCAGACGCGTCAGTGGACAGGTTGACATGGATGTAGGAACGGACAGCAACGCAAGATATGAGAGGATTGGTAAACAAATTTGGTTTCGAACAAACGTCAATGGCAAAAGTGTTTTGTTTCAGTGGGACACTGGTTCCACATGCTCAATGGTTAGCTTAGATGGTTACGCAGACCTAGGATCACCTCCCTGCTCTCCAGTATGTATTCCGCTGCGCTCTTATGGTAATCAAGCACTCAAGTGAAGGGCAGTGCCCGTGGATGTCGCCATTGGTAATGAGCAGAGGAAGAATCTGAAACTACTGGTCGTAGATATTCCTAAGGGAACAAACCTGTTCGATTATATTGGAGTGATGAGTTCGGACTCTCTCACCACGGACTGTCTGTGTTTAAGACGAAGCCGAACGACCAGTTTTGCAAAACTGTTCTGTCGACACAGAATCACCTGAAGCCAGAGCACGAATTTGAGTGAAAACCTAGCAGCTGACGTATATACACTTGCCAATAAGTACCCGGATGTGTTTAAGGAAGGACTGGGACATTGCACTAAACTGAGAGTACCACTCCACCTCAAACCTGATGCTAAGCCAGCGTTCTTCAGGCCAAGAGATATTCCTTTCTCTCGGAAGCAGGCCACCAAGGAGGAGCTGGATCGGTTAGTCAAAGAAGGTGTCCTAGAGCATGTGGATTACAGCGAGTGGGCAGCACCCATTGTAGTAGTGTCAAAGCCATCTGGTGCAGTGCGTATCTGTGGTGATTTTGAGGCATTAAATAAATGCATCCACGTAGACCAGCATCCCTTGCCAAAGCTGGATGAACTGCTGGAACGTCTGAAAAGGGGCAGACATTTTACCAAGATTGACCTTGCCGATGCGTATTTGCAACTGGAGCTGGAAGAAAAAGCTCAAGAGCTCTGTGTAATAAACACACCCTGGGGACTTTTTAAGTATACTCGGATGTGTTTTGGAATTGCAGCGAGTCCCGCGCAGTTCCAGCGTTGCATGGACTCGTTGATCGGGCAGCTTCCTGGTGTAGCTGCATACTTAGATGACCTCATCATTACGGGTCGTACGGAAGCAGAACACTGGAAGAATCTGGAAAATCTTCTGAACCGCCTTCAGGAGTTTGGCTTCCGGATTCGTTTGGAAAAGTGTTAATTTTTCAAGAAGTCGGTCGAGTACCTGGGACACGAAATAAGTAGCAATGGGATGACTCCATCTAAGTCATCAATTAAAGCTGACGAGCAGTTGCCACGTCCGAAAACTTGCCAAGAAATCCAAGCATTCATGGGGAAAATAAACTAATATGGCCGCTTTATAGCCGATCTGTCAGAGAAGGCTAGACCACTGTATGCCCTAATGCGGAAAAACGCAAAGTTTGAATGGAAGCAAGCACAAGAAGAAACTTTCCAACTGCTTAAGAGGAAGTCATTGATGCAACACAGTTAACGCACTATGATGACGCTAAACCCCTCATCTTAGCAACTGATGCATCGCAGCATGGAATTGGAGCGGTGTTATTGCAATTGGACAAGGGAGTTGAATACCCTATTGCGCATGCATCAAAGACCTGAACGACATCAGGTAAAATATTCGCAGATAGAGAAAAGGCCCTGTCAATCGTTTATGGGTGACGAAGTTCAGACAATTCCTATACGGCAGGAGATTCTCGCTGAAAACAGACCACAAGCCTCTGGTTGCCATATTCTCTCCAGACAAGAACATTCCAGTGTTAGCAGCACAACGGCTTCAGCGTTGGGCATACGCTTATGTTCTATCAGTACGACATTTGCTATAAGCAAGTGCACGCACATGGTAACGCAGATGGTCTTTCGCGTTTACCGATGGGACCGGATGTTAGTTTCGATAAACAGGAGGAAGAAGAAAACATCGAAATTGCACACGCTATCTTGGATGAGTTAGAAAGTTCTCCCTTAAAGGCGCAGGATGTCAAGGTCGAGCTGCTGCACAAGGACTCTCAACTGAAGCAAGTTAAACGGCATATAGAGGATGGTTCCTGGCCGGGAAAACTCAAGCGACCAAACTCACCTGCCGCCCATTCTGGAATCATAGGGACTACTTTTCATGTTCAACGACATCATCTTGCTACAACGTGACACTTGCACTCGCATTGTGGTTTTGTTCTCATTGCGAAAGAAAGTACTGGATCTGTTACACACAGCACACTGAGGAGTGGTGGCGAATGAACAAATGGCACGTCGTTATGTGTGGTGGCCAGGCATTAGCCAAGATATTGAGAAACTCGTCCAGTGCTGCGAAACTGCCAAACAAAACGTTTCAAGAGTGGCCAAAAACAGAAAAACCATGGCAACGGGTTCACCTAGATTTTTGCCGGCCCTTATAAGGGAAAGATGTGGTTAGTGTGCATTGATGCTCACTCAAAGTTTCCATATGTTGCCATGTTAAACATTGCGTAAAACAACATCAGAGGATACAAATCGATTGTGTTGAAACAGATCTTCACAATAGAGGATCTCCGGATACGATTGTAACCGACAACGGACTCCAGTTTGTTTCACGCGAGTTCGAGAATTCTGTGTGCAGCTGCATTCACCATGTCACTCCGCCACCATATCACCCTGCGTCCAACGGCGAAGCAGACCGTTTTGTTCAGTCGCTCAAAAGCAGGTTGGATAAGAATTGGTGGGGAGGAGCGGGATTGAAAGACGCAATCCCGTATTTCTAGCGACGTACCGGTGTTCGCCACATCCTGGGCTGGCGGGGAAGTCGCGCTGCGAGGTGCTACACGGGCGTCAACTAGAAATTTCCTGTCACTATTGTGGCCACGCGAAGCAGTGAGGGAGGATCATACCTCAATAAAGGCAAACATCGTTATGACGTTGACTCATTAGTCTATGCACGTAACTACGCCGCGCGGACCGAAACTGGGTGCCGGGAACTGTCATAAGAACTCTCGCGTGAGTGTTAGTCAGGCGTACAGACAGATCACGAGGTTTGAAAAAGACACGTGAACCAACTACAGCCAAGAATGAGGCTCATTATGACGTTCAGCCGCAGTGTGGTGAAGGCGAGGTTAACCCTACACAACGGGAGATACTTCCTGAGCCCGAACTGTCGTGGGACCGCCCGCAACGAGAGAACTCGCTACCCTGAACGAGTTAGACGGCGACCAGATTTCTACAGGTCGTAGAATACAGCGGGTTAGGTGTTCCCAAATTAGGGGAAGAAGTGATACAAATCACGCTATGTTATTAGGTTGTTTTCACGGCACAACTGTCTTGAATAAATGGCTTCGAGTCAGTAGGTCATTCGACAACGCAGAAGGTGTGCGTAACGGTTCTTTGTGCTGGCACTTGCTAGCAGCGCGAGCTACGCGTAGACGTTTTGTGGCAGCTCCAGCCCTCGCTGGCTGTGATCCGTGTTAAGTTGTAACCTTTGTTTGAGTTATTAAACCAGCATTAAACCTATACAATGAATGTTATTGTTCTTACGACGGAGACATAACAGTTATCGTTATTGTTATTGTTATTGTATTGTTGTCGTTGTCGTTGTCGTTGTCGTTGTCGTTGTCGTTGTCGTTGTCGTTGTTGTTGTTATTGTTGTTCTTTTTGTTGATGTTGTTGTTGATGTTGTTGTTGTTGTTGTTGTTGTTGTTGTTGTTTTATTGGTATTGTTAGTGTTGCCGAGATTAACGTTGCGCTGTTAATGTTGTTTGTGCGCCGGTGTGTTGGTGTTGTTGCGTCGTTGGGCGACGGTGTTGCTGTTTTTAGTTGATGCATTGTGAGTGCATTTCTGTTATTGGATTATATTGCACATGTACTTTTTGGAGCATGTATTTCCCAATTGCTATATTGGTAAAGTCTTCATCCCAATTTACCCGGTTTACCTGGTGATTGTGTGTGTGTTGGTTGTGTGTGTGCGCTCGTGCATGTATCGTGGCGCGTGCGTGTCCGTGCACGTTTGTATTCGTGCATGTGTTCGCGGGTGCGTGAGCACGTACGTGTGTGCGTGTGCGTGTGTGCGCGTGTGTGTGTGCTCGCTCACGCGTATGAGTGTGGTATCTATAACTATAAGCTAAAACTATCCTCTTTAGTTGTTGTGATTGTGTCTAAAATATTTTCCTACAATACGATATAAAGCAAAATTTCTCTATTTGTTTACAATTTCCCAGGACAAGTCGGAGATTGGAAAAACCACTTTGATGATGAGCTAAGCCAGAAGTTTGATCAAGCGTACAAAATGAACTTTGGGCCCTCTGGATTGCAACACGATTTCGAATAGCACTATTTCCGCGGAGAACACACTTTCGTTTATTTTAAATGAAATTTTTGAAGTCTACTTTTGAACATTAGTAGTATCTCGTAATATAGCGCGCAGTGGCGTAGATAAATCGAATGCGGTAGCAATGAATAACAAGCCATGTTTTGCAAAAGCACGCAAATACTTATTTTCTCGCTTGAATAAAAATAAGTGCAAAAGATATCATTAGATGATAGTGATTTAAGTGGAATCCTGCTATGGCCCGCACGTACCTTCATTTTCTGTTTTAAACTTCTTGCTTTTAATAACGTTTTAGAAAGACCACCCATGCAGTTATGCGGTAAAAAATTTATAGCACATGACTGAAATGTGATAACGTCTATAATTGAATAAAAGCCGATAGAGGCAAACAATGTTATTTGATATCACTACCCAACGAATTTGATAGCCTAAATGCATTCGTTTTGCTGTTTTATTTTCGCCTCACGCACGCACACACGCACGCACCACGCACGCACGCGCGCACGCACGCACGTAACTACACATGCGCACACGCACCTACACGACGCAAGTACACACGCGCGCTGATGAAAAAATACGAAGCTACGTGGTTGCGTGCGCAATCGTTGACGATCTGACACTCCATATACGCGCAATATACTAATAAAGTAAGATGAATAATACATAGTATATTGAATATACATAGAATAATGTATTCAATACATGCATGTATACGATATACTGCACAGCTTAATGCATGGAGCATACAACATCCGAATCTCATTACGTATCTTGTTCATGTGTCGTGTGGTCCTTATAATGACCTCTTCCTTGCGGATGACCTGGCTCCACTCCAACACAGTCAACAGCAGGTGCAAGACAAAGCAAAAGTTTTACCTTTTAATTCCATCATCAAACTATTGCTTCTCACAAGTCAGAAACACGAAGGAAAACAAAACCAATAACAACAGCACCACTAATCGACATCAGCAAGTGCCTGAGAGGTATCCATCTCATATAAGCGGTCCAGCAACATAAACCTTTTCAGAGTGCATTTAACTAAGTTCCATGAAAAGGAAAATGGGAAAAAAGATGGTAATGGCTATGCAATTTCCTTCTCAGCTCCATTAACATCACCCAACTAATCTCTAACCGAATAGTCATTGCGAGGAATGCTAGAGTAAAGCTGGAGATAGGCAGATGTCAAGGTCAACAAAGAACGGGACGAAATGTGCTGGAGAGGACTACGCAGAGCAGCATGCGATGCAGGGAAGCAGTGGCAGTCTATACTATCTTAGCAGCGATGGGAACAAGACCGATAATTTATAATCACACAAAAATGAACAAAATAAATAAACTCGCAACTCACGTCGCTAATTCGTATAGCTGTAGGCCTATAGATTGTGTGATGCGTTACACAGGCACTTGGGCCGTTTCAATAATAAAATGTGCATTGTGTATGCACAAATACACAGTAGGTTAGAGCTCTAGGTGCGTGCGCGCGTGCGTTGTATTTATTAACCATCATTTTATTACTGAAACGGCCCAAGTGCCTGTGAGCAGTTACGTTATGTAATTGTTATATTATGGCTACGTGACCTGAATACAGATTATAGACATGAATGACTTCACCGGCCGGGTCATAAATTATCCGGCTAATATGCAAAGTAGAAGTCCCAGATAGATCCTGGTCCATGGCAAAGTAATCATGGCGGGCCCTGGGAGTAGATTTACTCTTGAGACTGTGGTTCACTGAGACACTCACGGACAGCTATTAACCTACACTCCTTATAATCGAAACAGAGCAGAACTAAAACGTGTCCTAATTCCCCCCACGTTTATTCTAATTCATAGTACTCGTCCATCGATAACAACGTATGTGATGAGAGACGATGCAAATACGAGCTTAATCAGTCAAGCGAATCTTCTCCCATTGCTCAGAGAGGCCATCGTCGTTTCTAACTTCGAGTATATGTGGTCTCGCCCGACCTTCCTACCTTCATAACTCACCGCTCGCAGGCTAGCAACATGTACACACACATTGGAGTGCTGCTACTTGCTGCCTTGTTCGTAAGCGCAGTTACAGGTAGGTCCGTTACTCACTCATGTAGTAGGAAAGGTACTAAAACCCCGTGATGATAGTAATATCTAGTATCATTACGGATTCATTAGTGATCTTTTGTTGAACGCTTAGTCGCGTAACGCAGTTATACTCATCTTAAATTACTCCGGCTCATTAGCAAAACCATGGCCGGCATAGTTAGTTGAATATTTTAGATAATTGCCTGGCCAATGTTACAGAATTCTAAAATAAATTGCGATTTCTAGTAAAATATAATAGTTTTCGAATAAAATAATCAGTTGCCTCAAAGGGTTCGTCTGAATTTGTATATATAGTATATATCTAGTATTCAACCTTGATTCCTCATAATTACTGAGTTATAATTTCGTAAATTAGTGATATTTCTCGTATAGTACATATAACATACTATATATGTAAAAATGTATGTATATGTAACAAGAGTAGATAATAACACTCTGTTATTATCTACTCTTGATATGTAAATATAACATTATATTTTCGCATATGATGTACAGGTGATATAACCCCGATATAATAATGCGCTTACATGCACATTATCCACTAGCTAATTTGTCAATGGTCGCCCGAGCTAGAAAATACCGCTAGCTAGTTCTAGCTTCCACTTATGTCGCGTTTTAAAACTCTTGCTAGTCACTATTAAGTTTACAGTACCCTTGCATCGTTCCTATGAGAATCGTAAGGACATTTATTCTTAGCAGCGCACTGACAGAAAGACATCAAATGCCATTTATCTCTGTACGTCTTTCCCACTCAATACGCTCAAAGTCATCTTCTCCAATAGCCGCCATGTCAAATAGATTATTCTCCCCAACAGCCGACATGCTGTAATGGTAATTACACGATGTACGAGCAGATTCTGACCTTGGAATATTTCGGCGGACGTTTTGCGAATGTCCTGTCGAACATTCGCGACATGCGGACATCTGTGCCGACAAGCAGAACAGTTGCGTAGCGATCGTAAATAATTCGCACGACCTTGGCAATATCAGAAATGCGGTCGCTGTGCAGTAGACGTGACGTTGTGTTCGCTATAGGCTGTAGCCGTAGTAGCCGTGATGCGCGCTTGCGCGTTGTTTTGCTCTCTCGTGAATATTTTGCATCACGCATTTACTGGCTCTGTCAACGTTGCATATGCCAAACCTGCTTATTTAAAGATCGTTAAACAGTCGAGGTTATAACACATTTCAGTTGCCCTCTGCGCCGATATCTCGGCAGGAAAGTACCCAAAACCTTTCCTGTTCTCTGCCAATGCCTTTCCTCTATTCCATAGCATGCAGGACGAGGGATTCGCATTTGCCTGATAAACTTTGTGAAAATACTAAATAATGAACGTTAGCATAATATTATAATGAACAACGCTAGGTTGCGTGCCAAACGACAGATTATACATAGTTCCTTTAATATGCCATCATTTTCACATGTATTATTATTATTATTATTATTATTATTATTGCTGCTGCTGTATTATTACTATTATTATTATTATTATTATTATTATTATTATTATTATTTTGTTTTATGGTAGGCCTATGGTATACGTCAATAATAATAATAATAATAATAGCAGTAATAATAATAAGACGAAGAAGAAAAAGGGGAAAAAAGAAGAAGAAGAAAAAAAAGAAGAAGACGACGACGAATTTTAGGTACATGATAAATTGTGTGGGTTTAACTACTTCAGGGCAGAACTGTCGCGGGTCATGGCGCGCCGATGACGGGTCTGGTTACGAGGCATCGTGGCAGTACGATCCTGCGACTGACAGAGTGTGGTTCTCGATCTCACAGCTGCCTAGATGCGAATTACAAGGAAAACTCTCGAAAGATGGATAAGAAGAACTCGATGCATATAGATAAACTTTTACCCATCAAAGTATCGTGGCTGATTGTTGCTGATCCAACCATAGACAACGTCCGTGTTTGGCTATAACAGAAAAGCTCGGTCAAACGCAGTACACTATCTGACTATATTCCGTTAATACCGTTAATACCTATAAATGCCGATTTCAAATCATAAACTCTATAAACTGGAAACTCTAAAATGCCTCTTTGCGGACACGAAATTGGTCCTTAAATTGTCACGATCGCGTGGCTAGTTCGGGTTTCTAATGAAGGGCACACGCGTATGTCAGACATCGTTACCATCCTCCTGTTGGAGGAGAAGCCGATGGCGATCCATCGCTGGTCGTCGACACGACAGGATGACGTCATTAGTTCCGCGATTGTTTTCGTCGTTCGATGGAGGGGCATAGGCAGATAGAAACCTGCGGGCAAAAAAATGCATGTCAGCTATGCATATTCGATCAATCCGAGTGATAGCACAACGGGATGCAAAATGATGCAAATGATGAATGGATGGGTGGATTGATACATAAACGGACGGACTGATATCAGTAGATTAAAAAGTTCGCGAAGATCGGTAACAAGATGACGATGGTGTTTTCCAAGCCGCGTCTGGGAGGAACCAATGACGTGTCACTTAACAACGTTTACCTCGTGTTTCCGACTAAACCCGGGTTTTACCTCGACCCGGGAGCCATAATGAAACATGACGGCACGCCGACGATAGGGCCACGCGTCGACTTCAGTAACTGCGACCGCCGGCGGGGTGCCGTCGCCGCGGTTTCCCCGCCTCTACCACCGTCTACCGGTACGTATCTCACTGGATAGAGAACGACTTCGATAAATGTGAGACATACCTGACTATAGTGG